AAAGCGAACATCGTCGTAACGAAAACGACAAAGTGCTAGTATGAAATTGACGGAGAGAGTAGTAACTCAAACGGTAACTCGAGGCCGTTTTCAAATGGAGCCGGGACTTCCTCCTCACACAAGACAGCTCTCTCAAACTCCACCAACGGTGCAGTAACCATGAATGGATCAAGTACAAATGGTCATTCAGCCACAGGTATCAAGCCGGCATCTACATATTTCGGACATGATAGGGAGGAAGTTACGAGGATCTTGATTCAAGCATTGTCGGACTTGGGTTACAAGGGTGCTGCTGGAGCTTTAAGTCAGGAAAGTGGTTATGATCTAGAGAGTCCAACAGTAGCAGCTTTCCGAAATGCAGTCCTACAAGGCGAGTGGGCTGAAGCTGAAGAACTACTTTTTGGAGGATCTACAGAAGAAGGCGGAGTCAGCATTCACGGAAACGGCTTGATTCTCCGAGATGGCGTGGATAAGAACTTCATGCGGTTCTGGATACGCCAACAGAAATTCTTGGAACTACTTGAACAAAAAGACATGGGCAGAGCGATAAATGTACTGCGATCTGAGCTCACTCCATTGGATCAGGACACCCCCAAATTGCATTTTCTGTCAAGGTAAGTCCTGTCGACTTGCCTGCGAGCCCCATCTGGATAAAGACTAATCACTTATCTCAGCTTACTGATGTGTACACCCGACGACCTCAAGACCAAAGCTAATTGGGATGGGGCCGCTGGGGAATCAAGAAAACAGCTTCTTTCGCAGTTATCCAGTAAGTTTCATGTTGATGCTGTTGGTTGGCATATTATTGATTTTCTCCTAGGATGCATATCACCGTCTGCCATGTTGCCCGAGCATCGTTTGGTCACCCTCTTTAACCAAGTCAAACAACATCAAATATCTAGCTGTATTTACCATAACACATACACTTCTCCTTCGCTGTACCAAGATCATACATGCGACCGAAGTAACTTCCCATTGCGGCCGGTTTTGGAAGTTGATAAACATTCTGGCGAGATATGGGATACTAAGTTCTCACACGATGGTACTCTATTGGCGAGCTGTGGAGCGATGGCGTTACCGTAATTTATAACGTACCGGACTTTGATGTTCATGTTGTTCTTTCCGAACATGAGGCGGGTGTTTGTTCTTTTGCTTGGAGTCTTGATGATACAAGAATGGTCACGTGTGGCCGTGATAATCGTGCGTGCTTATGGAACACTGCAGTAAGTTCGAATTTCACATTAGAACCCGTTCATTACAAGCCTTCTTGCTGACTACTCAGACTGGTAAATTAATGAACAAACTCCCCCGTTTTAGCGAGCCTGTGACCTGTTGTGTATGGGCTCCAGATGGACAGTCGTTCGTCATTGGCAGCTTGGGCAATACCAAAAACTTATGCCAGTGGAGTCTCAACGGTGATCTTGTCTACGATTGGGGTCGAGAACATCGTATCCGAGACATAGCAATGACGCCGGACGGAAACAAATTAGTGGCCATCGAACACATGACCCATATTTATGTTTATAACTTCGTAACTCGGGAGCTTGAATACGAGCTGGACCTCAAAGTTCAGCTGTGCTCAATTTCTATTAGCCAAAACTCGAGGCATCTACTGGTCCACTGCTGCACTGGGGAGACCCGCATGCTCGATGTAGAGACAGGCGAAACAGTACGATCTTTCATATCAGGGGACAAAGGGGGTGAATTCATTATCAGAAGCTCTTTCGGTGGTGCAAACGAGAGTTTTGTTGTTAGCGGAAGCGAAGGTACGATTCATACACCGGATGGCCTATCAGTATTACTAATATTTCACTTGTAGAGGGGAACGTTATAATATATCACAGAGAGAACGGTGCAGTGGTAGAAAAACTGGAGGGACATAAGAAAGGCTGCTGCAATGCAATTTCTTGGAATCCGACGAACCCAGCTATGTTCGCTTCCGCCGGTGATGACGGTAAAATTCGAATGTAAACATCATCCCTTTGAGTCATTGTGGAATAGAACTAACAAGCACACCAGATGGTCGAGTGAAAACACTTCAGGAAGATCCTTGAAATCGAAGGTATCCAATGGTTCCAATGGTGCACAGCGTGTATCTAACGGCTGGTGATTGGACATTCACGCCAGCACCAAGAGTTCATAAACGCTTTCATCAGAAGTGACATCACAAATTTCATTGTTTTGCATCGACACATCATTATTCACATTACATACACACTTGGTGCGGCGAATCGGGAGAATTGGGTCGAGTGCAGAAATGGTTGCATATGGAAGGCATTTTATGGTGTTCGGGGACAAACCTTTATGGTAGCGGCATGGGGTCTTCGTTAGTGTGTGTTCGCAAATTGTTCTCAACTATTTAGACCCTTCACGCAAAGCTACTCCTACACGGATAGATCACTGCGAGTAAGTGGGGCAGTTGAGAGGGATATGATTGGATGGTAAGGCAAATGCAAGGCAATGCAAGGCATGGTAGATAATTATACATGCCAATGAAACAGTATCATTTGTAAATCAAAATATCCACATTTAATAACTCTCCACATTAGCTTTACAAGATCGATCTCTCCACTTCATCAGCCCAAGGGATAGCACTCTGAGCCCCTTCTTTCTCCACAGTTCGCGCAGCCGCCTTACATGCTTTCGCCACAGCAGCTACCAAAGCATCTACATCAGCATCCCCATTCCGCACTAACTCAACAGCATAGGCTCCTACAAATGTGTCACCAGCAGCGGTCGTATCAACTACCTTTACATTTTTCTCCGCAGGAATATGTTCGTACGTATTCCCCGTAGCGAATATCGCGCCTTTAGCTCCAAGTGTTATTATAACAGTCTTACAGCCGAGGGATAAAAATTCCGAAGTAACAGTGCGCCAATCGAAGGTAGGGGAGGCGACGGAGGAGATGGGACGAGAGGTTAGGATGGCGGCTTCGGTTTCGTTGAGGATTAGGTGGGTTATGGAGGGGTAGGCTGAGGGGGGGAGTTTTTGAGCGGGTGCCGGGTTGAGGAGAACTGGGATGTGGTTTTTGGTGGCTGTGGTGAGGATTTGGAGGATGCTTGGGAGGGGGATCTCGAGTTGGAGGATTAGGAGGTCGGGGTGGGGTGTGCCGAGGGAGGTGGTGTGGGTGAAGGTTTGGGGGGTTAGAGACTGGTTTGTTTGGGTGGAGTTAGTGGTTAGTTGGTTACTGGAGCGGTGATGATGTACGTGAAGGGGCCGTAGATGATGAAAAGATAGGCGGACTCACGTGGTTGGCGCCGGGGGAGAGGAGGATGCGGTTTTCGCCGCTGTCGGATTCGACGAGGATTACCGCTACGCCGGTGGATTGGTGTGGGATGGTTTGGACGGAGGTTGTGTCGATGAGGGAGGATTTGAGGGAGGAGATGAGGGATGGACCGAATCTAGGGTGGGTTTAGTTTGTGTTGTTTTGATGAGTGGGTTTTTGGAGTGGAATTGATGTGTTATGGTTTGTATTTTGGAAATATATAAATTTTTGAATGGTGCAAGACACTTGTGTGAGAAATAGGCAGGAGTGAGAGTATAACACAAATCCTTGAATTCAAGGACATGGATAACACTTGTTTTGCAAAATAGGCAGATGTAAGAACCATACCACAAGTCTTTGACTTAAAAGACGTGGATATGCTCTGGAGAATAAGCCCACTTGTAGATATTTGAATTAAGGAATTGTACTTGGATATTTGAAAGATAAATACATACTCATCATCACCAACAGCACCTATCATTTTGAGCAAAACATCGCTATCGAAAGATGGAGTGGAAGCGGGATTAGGCCTTGAGAGGCGAGCGCATGCTACAGCTTGATTGGCACCTTTTCCGCCGGGACCAGTGCTAAAAGATGTAGCGGTTAAGGTCTCGCCGCCAGCCGGAACGCGGGGCGTAAGCGTTACTAGATCGATATTGAGGGGATCCGATTACGGGTTATAGTTTTGGGTGGCATGGTTGGGTTGGAGGGGTGGAAGTTATCCGGGTAGCGAAGTTATTGAAAGGGGGTTGGCACGTGCTTGCTTGCTCTTCGATATTTAGGTGCCTAATGGCTCTGGCGGATGTGCGTCGTAATAGTGATGACGAAGCTTTAGGGCTTTTCTGTGGGTAGCT